GTATACGAGTCCACAGTGAGTACACAATCATATATGAGGCCACAGTGAGTATACACGTGTATATACAAGTCCAGAGTAAGTATTCACATGTACATACAAGTCCAGAGTAAGTATTCACATGTACATATGAGTCCTTGGTTAATGTTTCAAAATGGTTCAATGTCAGTTTAGAACATTTAATTCTCAAGTGTTGTAAATTGCTGCCAGTACATCAGTCTTGTTTTTGACTGGCCTCCTCGGTGGTTGTGTGTTTCAGGTAAAATGTTCCCCACCATCGGTGACGTCCACCTGGCCCCCTTCACAGATGAGCAACTCTACATGGAGCAGTTCACCAAGGCCAACTTCTGGTGAGGAGGGGAAGAGGGGAGGATAGAGGGGCCACAGTTTTATTGCAGAACAATCAAAATAACTGTCAAAAGCCACATTTCCACGAAGTGATCCAGTTCATTACATATTAGAACGGTTATTTCCGTGTTTCCATTGATAAATAAACCACTGCAAACCACTGATTAGTCTTCACTGCCAACTTAACTTGTTATTTTCAATATTTTTATTGTGATCAGTGGGACCAATTTAAAAATGAAATGTGACTTCCTTCTTTGGCCCTCAGGTACCAGCCCTCCTTCCATGGTGTAGACCTCTCTGCCCTGCGGGGAGCAGCAGTGGATGAGTATTTCCGCCAGCCTATTGTGGTACGTCATCCACCACGCACACATACACAGGTTTCTTTTACACTGGCCGTGTGACAGTGTTGGATTTGAGTTGCACGGATCTGGATTTTGTTTTTGTGCTCTCCTCCACAGGACACATTTGATATCCGTATTCTGATGGCCAAGTCGGTCAAATACACAGTCAACTTCCTGGAGGCCAAAGAAGAGGATCTCTACAGGTGTGTGTGTGTGTGTGTGTGTGTGTGTGTGTGTAAAATGTTTACTTGTACCCAATGTAATTAATGTCTCTTTCTGCCATTTCTTTTGGGTCCCAGGATAGAGATTCCTTTTAAGTTCCACATGATGCACTCGGGCCTGGTGCACGGCCTGGCTTTCTGGTTTGATGTGGCGTTTATGGGATCATCGTAAGTCCACCAGTTACTGATAAACACATGAGTGGCTTGAATCTAAAGAAATGCCTTGAGTTAGCCCCACACAGTCGTCTTGACCTTGCACCGTATCTCTGCAGGATGACAGTATGGCTGTCCACAGCACCTACGGAGCCCCTCACCCACTGGTACCAGGTGCGCTGTCTGCTGCAGTCCCCCCTCTTCACCAAGGCTGGCGACACGCTGTCCGGCACTGCCATGCTGATGGCCAACAAGAGGTAGGACGCTTGTGAACGTAGTCCTCTGCAGCATGCTGGTCCACCTCTTACTCCTACATGTCAGACGCTTCATATTGGGGCTTTTGGGCATCCAGTGGGACGTTTTTCAAACTTGGTCTGTAGAGCTGGGCTCCGGTTAGTGACCAGGTGGGGGACGTCGGCCTACATAACCGTTTTGCATCGTTGCCATGATGGCCTCTTTTGCTGAAAATATCTGCGTGCATGTGTTGAACTCCTGATAACAATCTAAATAACTGTTAAAGACTCTCCTTCGAGACCAGGAGAGGCAGGGGCCATTAAATGCCAGACAGACTTTAAATAAAGTAAAAGATATTCATTATTTAGATGGTTTGGGATATTTTAATTAGAAAGTAATTCTCCACTCCATGTAAAAACATTCAATGCATTATTCCGGCCATATGGTTAGAAAATGTGGGCTTTAAGTTTGCGTCCCCGGGAGCAGCTGATTTTACAGCAAGCAGACAGGTGGTATACACATCTGACCCGCTTTCACTTTATTTCTCCCCACACAAGTTATCTGTGCAACACTATCGGCTCTTTGTCCCCTGTACAAGACGGGCAGGCAGGGAGGAAAATACATCTGTTACTTTAACTTACTTACCAATTTGGTGTTCCGTCTTCCAAATAGTCCAGCCACCTAACTATCCATTCATGAAATTCAATTTACCCCGGGAATATGCACAGACATTAATAGTTTGTAAGAGTGGTATTTGACAACTCTGGCCAGTCATAAGCCACAGAACAGCGCATTGTAAATGAATAGAACATATTCCAACGATGAAATCCATCGAATCACACTTCAGGATGTGCTCTTGCTTTGTGTATGCAGAAGTAGCCGACAGAAGTAATGCATGTCATAAACGCAGCCTGATTTCTGGGGATAAACCTTTCACTTTCCTCTTTCAAAAACTAGAAATCGTGTGCTAGCTGTAGCGTCATGATTACTGTACAGACACGAGAGTGGTACGCTTCCCCTCATCTCATGCTCTCAATGATCTCCCTCTCAACAGACAAAGCTACGACATCAGTATTGTTGCCCAGGTGGACCAGACCGGATCAAAGTCCAGCAACCTCCTGGACTTGAAGAACCCCTTTTTCAGGTGAGTTGGTCTCTTGACCCCAGCAACACACCTGGATCCGGATGGCACCGTTTGACATGTAAGACGGGGAGCACTGTCCGCCTCTCCCATGTTAAACGTGTGTGTGTCTGTATTCGCAGGTACACAGGCACCACCCCCAACCCCCCTCCTGGCTCACACTACACCTCCCCGTCTGAGAACATGTGGAACACGGGCACGGCCTACAACATGAATCAGGGGATGGCTGTATCAGGTGAACACACATAAACACTGGTAGATGACGGCGATCCTCCATGTGTTTATAATCCCGGCTTAGGCAGCTGTTCCCTACTGATTCAAACGGGGCTAAAGCAAGCACCACAGCGATTGTTATATTTATAGCCGCGGATACGAGACCCTACTCTGGAGCAGAAAACCAGGCTGTACGAACATCTAATGTTATTGAGAATCAAATGTCCGAAGCTCCCGCTGTTGCTCTGACAACAGACAGTCGGATGTCACGGACTACACACCGCTTCAGACACGCCCTCTTGAGTGTCACCAGCGAGGATTTGGCATTTCTGCTTTTTTGCTGTATTGAAAACGTACTGAACCGTGGCTCCACTGTATCGTATTGAACTGAACCGAGAATTTTGTGAACCATTACACCCTAGTATGTATTTATATATACAGTGGGGCAAAAAAGTATTTAGTCAGCCACCAATTGTGCAAGTTCTCCCACTTAAAAAGATGAGACATGCCTGTAATTTTCATCATAGGTACACTTCAACTATGAGAGACAAAATGAGAAAAAAAAAATCCAGGAAATGACTGTCTGATTTTTAAAGAATTTATTTGCAAATTATGGTGGAAAATAAGTATTTGGTCAATAACAAAAGTTCATCTCAATACTTTGTTATATACCCTTTGTTGGCAATGACAGAGGTCAAACGTTTTCTGTAAGTCTTCACAAGCTTTTCACACACTGTTGCTGGTATTTTGGCCCATTCCTCCATGCAGATCTCCTCTAGAGCAGTGATGTTTTGGGGCTGTCGCTGGGCAACACGGACTTTCAACTCCCTCCACAGATTTTCTATGGGGTTGAGATCTGGAGACTGGGTAGGCCACTCCAGGACCTTGAAATGCTTCTTACGAAGCCACTCCTTCGTTGCCCGGGCGGTGTGTTTGGGATCATTGTCATGCTGAAAGACCCAGCCACGTTTCATCTTCAATGCCCTTGCTGATGGAAGGAGGTTTCCACTCAAAATCTCACGATACATGGCCCCATTCATTCTTTCCTTTACACGGATCAGTCGTCCTGGTCCCCTTGCAGAAAAACAGCCCCAAAGCATGATGTTTCCACCCCCATGCTTCACAGTAGGTATGGTGTTCTTTGGATGCAACTCGGCATTCTTTCTCCTCCAAACACGACGAGTTGAGTTTTTACTAAAAAGTTCTATTTTGGTTTCATCTGACCATATGACATTCTCCCAATCCTCTTCTGGATCATCCAAATGCTCTCTAGCAAACTTCAGACGGGCCTGGACATGTACTGGCTTAAGCAGGGGGACACGTCTGGCACTGCAGGATTTGAGTCCCTGGCAGCGTAGTGTGTTACTGATGGTAGCCTTTGTTACTTTGGTCCCAGCTCTCTGCAGGTCATTCACTAGGTCCCCCCGTGTGGTTCTGGGATTTTTGTTCACCGTTCTTGTGATCATTTTGACCCCACGGGGTGAGATCTTGCGTGGAGCCCCAGATCGAGGGAGACTATCAGTGGTCTTGTATGTCTTCCATTTTCTAATAATTGCTCCCACAGTTGATTTCTTCACACCAAGCTGCTTACCTATTGCAGATTCAGTCTTCCCAGCCTGGTGCAGGTCTAATTTTGTTTCTGGTGTCCTTTGACAGCTCTTTGGTCTTGGCCATAGTGGAGTTTGGAGTGTGACTGTTTGAGGTTGTCGACAGGTGTCTTTTATACTGATAACGAGTTCAAACAGGTGCCATTAATACAGGTAACGAGTGGAGGACAGAGGAGCCTCTTAAAGAAGAAGTTACAGGTCTGTGAGAGCCAGAAATCTTGCTTGTTTGTAGGTGACCAAATACTTATTTTACCAAGGAATTTACCAATTAATTCATTAAAAATCCTACAATGTGATTTCCTGGATTCTTTCCCCCCATTCTGTCTCTCATAGTTGAAGTGTACCTATGTTGAAAATTACAGGCATCTCTCATCTTTTTAAGTGGGAGAACTTGCACAATTGGTGGCTGACTAAATACTTTTTTGCCCTACTGTACATATGTGTGCGTTTACTCACCGGCCACTTTATTAGGTACACCTTGCTAGTACCGGGTTGGACCCCCTTTTGCCTTCAGAACTGCCTTAATTCTTCGTAGCATTGGTCCATATTGACATGATAGCATCACGCAGTTGCTGCAGATTTGTCCGACTGCACATCCATGATGCGAATCTCCCGTTCCACCACATCCCAAAGGTGCTCTATTGGATGCCAAATTGTGACCCTACCATCTGAACGTGGCAGCTGAAATTGAGACTCATCAGACCAGGCAACGTTTTTCCAATCTTCTAGTGTCACATATTGGTGAGCCTGTGTGAATTGTAGCCTCAGTTTCCTGTTCTTAGCTGACAGGAGTGTTACCCGGTGTGGTCTTCTGCTGCTGTAGCCCGTCTGCTTCAAGGTTCCACGTATTGTGCGTTCAGAGACATACAGTTGTGTGAAAAAGTGTTTGCCCCCTTCCTGATTTCTTATTTTTTTGCATGTTTTGTCACACTTAAATGTTTCAGATCATCAAACTAATTTAAATATTACAGATAACACAAGTAAACACAAAATGCAGTTTTTAAATGAAGGTTTTTATTATTAAGGGGGGGAAAAAAATCCAAACCTACATGGCCCTGTGTGAAAAAGTGATTGCCCC